AGAGTCTTAATCCTGCTTGCTGTAGCGAGGTGAGGAGCCCTGGTGGCGCAGTGGTTAAGAGCTTGGCTGCTGACCAAAAAGGTTGGCAGTTTGAATCCATCAGCCGCTCCTTAGAAACCCTATGGGGCAGTTCTCCTCTGCCCTGTAGGGTCGCTATGAGTCAGAACTGACTCAGCGGCAACAGGTAGCAAGGCTGATTTGCAGGCTGACGGCTCCATCATTCAGAGATGGGATAGCAGAGGGGCCAGGCATGCAGATTCCAGCATCGCATTGCCCTTGTTGAATTCTAATCCTACCACTTACTGGCTGAGTCTCAGTGGACAATGATTTAATCTTTCTCTCCCTCAGTTTCCTCATCTGCAAAATAAAGGTGATAAAATGTGGAAACAACCCAAATGCCCATCAGCAGATGAATGGATAAACAAAATGTGGTATATCCATACAATGGAATATTATTACTTTGACATAAAGATAAATGAAGTCCTGATACATGTGACAACATGGATGAACCTTGAAAATATTATACTGAGTAAAATAAGTCAATCACAAAATGACAAGTATTGTCTGATGTCGCTAATATGAAACATTCAGAATAGGCAAATATAAGGAGTCCCTGGGTGGTGCAGATGGTTAAGCACTTGGCCGCTAACCAAAAGGTTGGCAGTTTGAACCCACCCAGAGGTGCCTTGGAAGACGGGCCTGGCCATCTGCTTATGAAAAGTCAATCTTGAAAACCTTATGGAGCAGTTCTACTCTGCACACATGGGGCCACCATGAGTTGGAATCAACTCGATGACATCGGAGAACACACCATAGAGATCTGAGTGTAACATTGGTTACCAGGGGAGGGAGGGAAGGGGAAGAAGGGAAATCTTGGTTTAACTAGCATTGGGTTTCTGTTTATGGGCATGGAAGATATGGCAATGGATGTTGGTGATGGTTGCACAACATAATTGTTGTAATTAGTTTAATTAAATTGACAAGTGAAGAATGTTGAATTGGCAAATGTTGTGTTATCTGTATTTTTACAACAATAAAAAAACAAGGATGATAAGAGTAATAGCAATAAAAATAATGATTTGCATTTATTGAATACTTAGGTGTGCCAGACATTGTACCGAGCACTTCCCCAACCTTTCATTTCACCCTCACAACGGCTTCCAGCTCCTGTGTTTTCATACAGTAGTGATACAAGAGCTGACATGTACTGAGCACTGTCCCAGGTGCTGCTATGTACTGTTTTTAAGAAACTGAAGCTTAGGGAGGTGACTTGCCCAAAATCCCACGGCTGGTATGTGGTCGGGCCAGGATAGGAACCTGGTTGTCGGGCTCCACGCCTCTGAGCCATCCTTACTGCATGGAGTCATTCCCAGGAATAAATGAGATCATTCCTGTCAAACACTTAGCAAAAGCACAAACTATAGCCATGTTAGTAATCAATAAAGTCATACTTTTTTCTACTGAAACATTGTACTTCCTCTCTCTTGACTTTGAAGCCCCTCCTGATAACACATTATCAGTGAGCCACTCGGAATTGTCTCTGAGTGGCAGTCGGAGTACTTAACAGGAAGGGATCTCAGATCTCCGTGGCCCTCTGGCCGTGGCTGCAGGCAGTAGTCCGCCCACACATGGCTTTACAAGTCCAGAACAGGCCCCTGTGCCTGCTCCAAACCACAGCAGCCCCCCATGACTAGGCTCCCTGGCCCTTCTCGACTTGAGTCACTTGACCAAAAACTGTGGAAGCCTCAGGTAAAGGGGGGGCAGGAGTGCAGGCTGGGCTCAGTTGGGCCTGGGAAGTGAGTATGGAGCCCCCTCAACATTTTTTCTGATAAGTTGCCTGATCGCTATTTCTTTTCTTGGGTGGCAGGCGGGGTTTAATTTTGAGGATGGGGCAGTAGGCTGGGGAAAGGTGTGTGTGTGTAGGAGTGAGGAGAGCTGTTATCTGCAGTGGGTGTTTAGAGCAGACTGTCCCCATGAAAGCCCTGGGCAGCTGCAGGAGGGCCCTCGTGCTCAGAAGGGGAAGCCCAGAGGGGCCAGGCTGGTGAGTGGAGCGAGTGCAGCCTGTTCAATGGGGTCTGTGACAAATGGGGGTGCACATGTGCCACAGAGAGGGGGGCCGCAGCCAGTACCGCCCCCACCTCAGTAACCACCAGCCCTCCATCAAGGAGCACACACACCCCCACCCAGTGGGAGGTGGGCAGATGCTCTAAGAAGACTTCACAGAAGAAAAACCGTGAATGACCAGTACGTATGGGAAACCCTCAAGCTCGGTTGTTCCAACAGAAATGCAGATTAAATGAAAAATCTTCTCTCACTAGTCAGACCAACACAACTTAAAAACAGTGATGACCAGTGTTGGGATTCAGGGAAACAGGCACTCTCCTTTTCCGTGGTGGGAGTGTTAATTGGCAGAGCTGTTTTGGAAGGCACTTTGGAATGTCTGTCAAATCTAAAATTGCACACCCTTTGACCTAGAATTTTCTCTTCTTGAAATTATCCTACAAAACGTACCATGAGTCCACAAGGACTCTTGGAAAAGAGTGTTTGTTCACTGTGGCACTATTTGTAAACGTGAAAAATGGAAAACAATCCAAATGTTTACCAATAAAGCAATGAGTACATATGCGATGGTCTAACTTTATACTAGGATTCCCTGCGTGGCGCAAACTAAAGCTTTCAACTACTAGCCGAAAGGCTAGTGGTTCAAACCCACCCAGAGGTGCCTCGGAAGACAGGACTGACGATCTGCTTCCAAAAGGTCCACAGCCATGAAAACCCAATGGAGCAGTTCTACTCTGCACACCTGGGGTCGCCATGAGTCGGAATCGACTTGATGGCAACTAACAACAAGAACAGCTTTATACTGAAATATTATGCATTCTTTAAAAAAGATAATATAGATCTATATGATATCACTGATATGAAAACATGCCCAGATTTCAATTAAGAGAAAAAAAAATGTAAAATCTGTGTAATATTCCATTTTTGTAGAAAATGTTTATGGTTACAATTAAATTATGTAACACATAGAATTCTAGTTCTCCCATGAATATAAGTATTTACTAAAAATATTTGCATGTATCAGAATTTTCAAAGTTGGAAAATTATTCTGAATTAATAAACATGAATTAGAGATATAAAAATATTGTAGTTTTATATTTTTAGAAAATTCATTAGAAGTTCCACTAAGTTTCTTGTTGTTAAACGTTAATTGCCAGTGAGTAGATTCTAACTCATGGCAACTCCATGTGTGCAGGGTAGAACTGCTCCATAGAGCTTTCAAGACTGTGACCTTTCAGAAGCAGATCACCAGGCCTGTCTTTCCAGGCACTTTTGGGTGGGTCTGTACTGCCAACCTTCTGGCTAATAGTCAAGCACTTAACCATTCTCAATGCCCAGGGACTCCATGAAGTTTCTAGGGAGAATAAGTATATAATGGTTTGAACAGCTAATCACTATTCTAAATAGAAGGAGCCCTGGTGGTGTAGTAGTTAAGAGCTCAGCTGCTAACCAAAAGGTTGGCAGCTCAAATACACTAGCCACTCCTTGGAAACCCTATGGGGCAGTTTACTCTGTCCTGTAGGGTGACTATGAGTTGGAATCGACCAGACGGCACCTAATAACAATAATTCTAAATAGATAAGCACTTGTTTTTGAAAATGTTCTTTTAAGTAGTTGTAAATATTTTCTTTGAAAACGTAATTATTTTCTGGTAAATTCTTTATTGAGAGTGCAATCAAACATGCTTAAATTATAGATTCCAGACTGAAGAGGTTTTTACTGTAGTTAGTCCCGGGAATTTTACTGAATCATGTGTTGTGGAGGAAGTTATTTCACAATGAACCCAGGAGGTTTGGCCATTGTTCCAAAGTCCTCTTCCTCATTTGTACTTCTGCATTTTACCTGCTCATACACAATTAGGTATATCATGGTGAAATATTGTAAGTTCACAGTTTGAACTCTCTAGGCCTGTCAAATCAGGAATGATAGTATCTGTCATAAGCAGCGTATCTATTTCCATCTCACGACTCATCTTTCCTTTTAAGTGGTCTACTTTCTGGAATGTATGCCTGCTGTTCGAGTCACTTGTTCTGTGTGGTGAAAATGATGCCATATGCTAAGGCCTGTAATGATTCAAAAGCATTAAAGCAGGCAGAAGTGATGGTGGAGGGATCGCTGGGGGCCTCCTGGTGCTCGGTGCTGAATAGGCTGTCTGTAATTATTCATGCACTCCACGAATATTCATCAGGAACTGACTATGTGCTGGGTGCTGTGCTGCTGCTTGAAAAACTTCAGTTTTTCTCCAGCGAGGTCAGTATTTTTACCCCATTTTACAGTCAAGAAATCCAAGGTAGAAGAAGTTAGGTTGCCCACAGTCACATAGCTCGATAAGTGGTGGAGGCAAGTTTCGAATCCAGGTCTGATTGATTCTGAAGCTCATGCTCTTTAGGGGACATAGGGGGTTGAGTGGTAGAATTCTCACCTTGCATGCAGGAGACCCGGTTTGATTCCTTTAGGTAGCCAGTGGAGGCCTGCATGTTCCTGTGATGCTGAACAGGTTTCAGCAGAGCTTCCAGACCAAGACAGACTAGGAAGAAAGGTCTGGCTGTCTACTTCCAAAAACGCAGCCAGTGAAAACCCTGTGGATCACAATGGTCTGATCCGCAGCCAATCACGGGGATGGTGCCGGGCCAGTGGCATTTCATTCCATTCCATTGAGCTTGGGGTCACCATGAGTCGGGGCCAATTTGATGGCAGCTGTAGCAACAACAGCCTTCCTCTTTAATTCTGTGGAACAAAGATATTCTCATATGTGACATTCTGATTATAGAGGTGGATGTTTCTTCTTTCAGACTGAATTTTTGAATACCTTAAAAAAGGGTTTTGTAAATCAATGATAGATACAATGTAGGTAAAATTTTCCAGTATATCTCTTTTTCTTAAACAAAGCAGACTGTTGTGTAGTTGTGATGTGAATTTTTTTTTTTTTTTTTTAATAGCAAATGACAAAGTTCTCTCCTGGACACTAGTCACAAGCCAAGCCTTCGACACTGCATGGAGGATATTGAAGGGGTCCATGACGTTGTCAGCCTCGTTCCTGCTGGCCACCCTCTGCTACTTCAGAGGGCTGTATTTATACTTAGGGCATCGACTGAAATGGTAGTTTATTGTATCATCTTTCAATTTCAAAAATGCCCTTGCCATTCAAAGTAGAATTTTGATACCGTTGTTCCTTTTGTCTTTCAGGTGGATTGGATATCTGCAGAGAAAGTTTAAAAGTAAATATTTTCATGTGTGTGTTTCCTTATATTTAAGATGTGGAGAGAGCTCAAGAAGGGAGAGGAAAGGGAAAATTAACTGCCTTTGATTTTTTGTTTGGTCCAGAGAACCTCAGCGTGGAGGCGGAAGTTGATTTGCTCAGTTATTGTGCAAGAGAATGGAAAGGAGAGACGCCCCATGCCAAGCTGATGAAGAAGGTGTGTCTATGGAAGAACATAGAATTTTTCCATAAAAATCCAGAGAGAAACAGACGTTCTATTCTGCTTTACTAAATCTAAAGATCAGCTAAACCAAGTGTGATACAAGCAACCACCATGGCTCTAATTTCAGTGGCCAAAGTTAGACCTTGGCTTCGGGCCATTTACCCGGAGCTAGCTCCTTGGAGGACTAGGTGAAGTAGGTGTGTAGTTTGGGAGACTTAGTGTTGCAGCTCTTCTCAGCCCTCTGCTGGCGGGGCCTGTTACACTTCTGCACACACAGTGGAGACTTCTGTCCTTGAAGGGACCAGGCACCTTGATATAAAATATTTTGAGGATTTTTAGAATTCTCTGTCAGACCAGTCTTGGTAAATATTCCCAGTAGTGCAGCCCAACTTTGTCGCTTGCAAAAGCAAAACAAAAGGGTATGTTTAAAGTACCTCCTTAAACCAAAAAAAAAACCAAACCTGTTGCCGTCAAGTCGATTCTGACTCATTGTGACCCTATAGGACAGAGTAGAACTGCCCCATGGGGTTTCCAAAGAGCGGCTGGTGGGTTTGAACTGCCAACCTTTTGGTTAGCAGACGAGCTCTTAAACACTCCACCACCAGGACTCCTTAACACGGTCTTAGAAGTACATGGTATTTTTCCCTGTGGTCAAGTTGCACCCATGACCTCCCGAAAATGATATTCCATATTCTGGGCTTCCAGGCCTTTATTGTCTAAAATAGCACGACTTGGACTATCCACAAGAGTCGCTTTAAAATTACACACAGTCATAAACCATAATTTACAATTGTTTTTGTTTCTGTTGTCCACCTCAGTTGGGAGTAACACCTCACTGAAAATACAGTGAACCCTCTTTATTGTCTTAGCCCATGGAATTATAAAACAAGTATTTTTCTTTTTGTGCTAATAGGCTTATGAGGAGCTGTTTTGGCGGCATCATATTAAATGCGTTCGACAAGTAAAACGAGATAACTATGATGCACTAAGATCCGTGTTATTTCAGATATTCAGCCAGGGCCTCTCTTTTCCATCCTGGATGAAAGAAAAAGACATTGTTAAGGTATGTATGCCTGGTACATGGGAAATGTCAGGATGGTGATGACTGCAACACAGAAGCTCTGGATCTTCTGTGGGCTCCTTTACTGAGGGCAGAATGAGGTTTGATGTACTCAGGGTATGGTGAGGTTGAAGGAACTTTGAGAGGTCATTTAACCCAATCCTCTCTCTTCTAAGTTCACAAATAAACCATCTCAGAAAGGTAGCCATACTCAGCTTTTTGTTTGTTTTTCAATACCCCCATCTCTTCTTGAGAAGGGTATCCATTCTTCATAAGTCAGGTGATTCAGTAAAGTTTACATTTTTACTTTATAGAAATATATGAATTTTGACTAACATACAGTTGTGTAAACTCCCCTCTCTCAAGGATTTCCTCATATCCTTTGTAGTCAACCTTTTTTCCAAGCCCCAGCCCATGGTGACCACTGATATGTTTCCTGTCCCTATAGTTTTGTCTTTGCAAGAGTGTCATATAAATGGAATCATACAATATGTAGCCTTTTAAGTCTGGCCTTTCACTTAGCATAATGCATTTCCAATTCATCCATGTTGTTCTATGAATTTGTAGTTTATTCCTTTTTATTGCTGAGTGGTATTTCTTTACATGAATGTACACAGCTTGTTTATCCATTCACCGGTTGAAGGATAACTGGATTGTTTCCAATTTTTGGCTGTTGTGAATAAAACTTATCAATATTCACAGGATTTTTTAAAAATAGTATTTTTTTGTATTTTCAGAGGAAGTGTACACAGCAAAACAGGCTCCCATTCAACAATTTCTACACATATTGTTCAATGACATTGTTTACATTCTTCACATTGTATCATCATTCTCATTATTTCCATCCTAGTTGTTGTGTTCACAAACAGGATGTTGTGAACCTAAGTTTTTATTTCTTTTGGGTAAATACCTACAAGTGGGATTGCTGGGTCATATAGTAGGTGTAGTTTAACTTTATAAGAAACTGCCAAACTGTTTTCCAAAGTGGCTTTACCATTTTCCATTCCCACCAGCAAAGGATGAGAGTTCCAGTTGCTCTGCATCCTTGCCAGCATTTGGTATTGTTGGCTTTTTGTTTACTTAAGCCTTTCTAATAAGTGTGCATTGGTATGCTTGTGGTTTTAATTTGCATTTCCCTAATAAGTGATGGTGTTGAGCGTTTTTTCATGTGCTTATTTGCCATCCGTATTATTGTCTTGGGGGAATTACCTGATGTTATGCCCATTTTTTATTGAGTTGTTTTCTTATTATTGAATGAGTTTTGAGAGTTTTTATACATTCCGAATACAAGTGCTTTATCAATATGTGATTTGCACATATTTTCTCCTTCCGTAGCTTGTGTTTTCATTGTCTTCACAGTGTAAAAACAGTAAATTTTAATGCATAACCTGAGTTTTTATTTCAAAATGCAGTATGCTGATCTAGAATGTACATTTAAGAATAGAGGGTCAAGGAAATAAAGTATATGCACCTATATAACTATATGTATTCTATGACCTTGACATTTCTTATTTAGAACTGTTTTCATTAGTTCAGTTTTATCTAGCAAATATTTGTCAAATGTGTGCAGTGTGCTAGCATGCTGCTACCTGCTGAGGACAAGGAATATAACATCATTTATAATATGTACTATAGATAGGTATGTGTTTTGCAAGGTTGTAATTGGATCCAGCAATAAATTTTTGGTTTTGTATTATGTAAAATGTAACAGAGGCCCTAGTTCAAGATTCTTAGATGGAAGAATGTATTAGATGCCTGTGATGGACCATTATCTTATTTAATCCTAGCAAGAGCCCTGTAAAATGGGTATTATCCTTAATTTACAGTTAAGGATGAAGCTGAGAGGCTGAGTAATCCATGCTGGTTAAATCATCTCTCAGCTGGTGAGGGACAGAGCCAGGTTGGAACACCTGAGTGCATAATTCTAAAATCCACATGTTTCCTGATGGGCTATAATGCTCTAACACTGCTTGGTTAAAAATAATTTGTAAAGGGTTATGTCTAGGGAATTTTGGGAAATATTATATCCAAAAAGATAGTTTCTATGGACATAATCTTTTATATTTAGATTTTCATCACTGGAGTGTACTGTCACAGTATAGGGAGAGCAATTAGGGTCACATAACAAAGTATGTATAAATTTTTGTATGAAAGACTAACTTGAATTGTAAACTTTCACTTAAAGTACAACAATAAAAAAATAATAAAATGAAAAGATTTTCATCACTTGTGAAATTGGGAAGTAGGAAGATGATTTACAAATCACTTAATCCACGAATCTAAAAAAAAAAAAAAAACCTGTATACTTTTCACCTACCTTTTGTTGTCTTTTTTTAAAAGAAGATTGCTAAATGGGATAAGATTAGGAGTTTTGACATATTCTGAATTGTGTGTAATACACGTGGAGATACTAACATTGCTGACATCGACTTCCTTTTTTAAGCTTCCTGAAAAACTGCTCTTTTCGCAAGGTTGTAATTGGATCCAGCAATACAGTTTTGGTCCAGAGAAATATACAGGTTCAAATGTGTTTGGAAAATTACGTAAATATGTGGAATTATTGAAAACTCAGGTGAGTGTTTAGGGGGGAAAAGAGACTAGGAATGAAAACATACATCCCAAAGGTAGCCACGTGCCTCTAAAGTTGACATATCCCTTTATGTTAGGTAAGTAGGGACACAGGCTGGAAATTCTAGTAACTGATTTTGCCTTTCCTTGCATGTCTTTCTCCTACCAGGTAATGAACTGGAGCAACATTGTTTTACATGATAATTAAGCTCCTTATGGGTTAAGAAGGCTTTTCTGGCCTCAAAACTTTAATAATCACGTACTTTTGTTTCCCCAGAAAAATGTGGTGCATGCTCCAGACAAGGTGCTTAGAAATGCCCTTTTGGAACACACCTTGTTAATAGCTCAGCAACTGCACAGATGCCATCATTTGACTAAGAGTTTTCCCTGCCATTTAATACAGATGCAGATTTTGGGCTTCCAGAATTGATCCTGGGCCTAGCACTTACTTGCTGGGTTATCTTGGGAAATACCTTAACTTTTGGGCCATAGTTTTCTTATCTGTAAAACTGAAATATGAATAGTATGTGCCCTGCAGAGTCTGTGGGTGATGCAAATGGTGAACACGCTCAGCAGCTAACCAAGTTAGAGTCACCTCAGAGGAGCCTTGGAAGAAGGGCCTGGTTATCCCAAAAATTCAGCCATCGAAAACCCTATGGAGCATAGTTCTACTCTGACATACATGGGGTCATCATGAGTCGGAGTTGACTCAGTGGCAACCAATTCTGGTTGGTTATCTACCCTGTACAGTTATTGTGAGGATTCACTGCATGCTGATACATAGGAGCTTGTACATGTTGAGTGCTTCAAGCTGTGCCTGGCGCATTGTGAGTGTTAAAGAGTGCTAGCTCTCTTTTGTGCTGGAATATCCTTTGTATAACCAAGTATCTTAAGCAATTCTAGGGAAGTAACTTGCTTAGTATCATATCCAGTAAGTGGTACATTTAAAAAATATTCTATTTAAACCAGTTTGTTATTGTAAAAGTAACATGTACTTATGGTTTTAAAAAAAATCAAACAGTGCCAAAAGATAGTAAGTGAAGAGTTAAAGCTACATGCCCCTCTGTGGATCTTTGGTTTATGTTATAAGTACTTGAAAATGTATGCCATTTACCCTTCTAAATTTCACTTTTACATCTCTGTTTTTAGTGGACTGAATTTAGTGGGATGAAGGATTATCATAAGAGAGGAAGCATGTGCAACATGCTTTTTTCTGATGCGATTCTGGAATACAGACTTTATGAAGCTTTAAAATTCATCATGTTATATCAAGTCACTGAAGTTTATGAACAAATGAAGGCTAAAAAAGTCATTCCCAGCCTTTTTAGCCTGCTGTTTTCCAGGGAAACCTCCTCTGATCCTTTGAGCTTCATGATGAATCACCTGAATTCTGTAGGCGACACGTGTGGTTTAGAGCGGGTGAGTGGTGCAGAAGAATCGTGAGCATTGGATTAAGGATGGCATTGGTAAAACGTGAACACTTCACTCTCAGCAGTGATAAAGCCAACTGCAAAGAGGTGGCCGATTAATATTGTTGTTGTTGCTAGTTGCAGTCCAGCTGGCTCCCACACATGGCAATCCCACTTATGACAGAACAAAATGTTGCCCAGGCCTGCATCACCTTCATGATCGTTGGTATTTTTGAGCCCATTGTTGCGGCGGCCACTGTGTCAATCCATTGGTTGATATTAATGCCCCACCAGTGAAGAAAAGAGGAGTCATAAGCCTCACTGTGGTGTGGGTGGCCGTGTGTGTCTCTAGACCAGTGCCCTATGTCTCTCTGAGCCCCAGTTCTGGGTGCCTGGGTGACCATTTGCACTTAGCTGTTAACCAGGAAGAAGTCTATTGGGAAAACAAGACAATGTATGGGAAAGCATTTGGTTAATCACTGCAGATAAGTAGATATTATTAAAATGTTTTAAATCCAGAAAATGCTGTTATTCCCTTGGAAAAGGATTTCTTTTCGCTTTCCTAGGAGGTGAACAAAATTATCTGACATATTTTTATACAAATTGATTTAAGATGATCTAAAGCTAGTTGGAAAACAGTGTCATTTTTATTGTGAGCACTGTTTATTTTTCATTAAAATCTTTTTTCAGAGAACTTTTTTCCTTTGATTTTTTGATTTTTTTTTTCTAGACTACTAGAGAGATATTGCTACACTTGCCCCCTTTCTTCCAGTAATGGACATTTGTTCCTAACCCTGCCCACTCAGTGGCTTATGTGTGGGTCGTAAACAAGTAGATTATTTCATAAACTGCAGAAGAACACTCTTCCCCCGCTGTGGTGGGAGGGCAGGAATTTGAAAATGTGTATTTGTGACCTTCCTTTCATCTCATCCCCAGATTGATATGTTTATACTTGGATACTCCCTTGAAGTAAAGATAAAAGTATTCAGACTGTTCAAGTTCAACTCCAGGGACTTTGAAGTCTGCTACCCAGAGCAGCCTCTCCGGGAGTGGCCGGAGATCTCCCTGCTGACCGAGAATGACCACCACTATCTCATCCCCGTCTTCTAAGTCTGCCATGAGTGGGCACCAGCTCTTGCCAGGGCCAGTGGTCATGCTTGCACGGAGAGTATTTCTGGAAAATCAAAGCTAGTGTTTCAGCCACTGAAGGGACTGGAACGCCTTTCTCTGGAATTACAGGTACACGGGGACAGAGCCGTGTGCGGATGGTTTTTCAGTGATTTCCTGCAAAGCAACTGCACTGATACTTATGGGTTGGTGGTTTGACCTTGTTCATAAGGGCTCTCTGGTGACATCGCATGACAGCCAGCCTTAAGAGCACCAGGAAGTTTAACGTGGAGCAGCAACAACAGCAGGGAAACAAGCAAGAAGACAACAAGCGGGGAAAAGTGATTAACCTGAAGAGAAAGAATGTCTTTATCTCCAGCCATTACGTTCTTCATTAAGAATCTCCTCTTTGGCGGATTTTGGAGCACCATCAATAGCTCCTTGTTTTGTAAGCATTATCTTCCCAGGAATCTTTGAGGTCTATTGACTTTCTAGAACTACTTGTTTAACTTTAGAATTATGTGTGTAAATATATATATGCGTATATGTGCAGGAACCCTGGTGGCACAGTGGTTAAGCGCTCGGCTGCTAACTGAAAGGTCAGTAGTTCAAACCCACCAACTGCTTCGCAGGAGAAAAATGTGGCAGTCTGCTTCCGTAGCGATTACAGCCTTGGAAACCCTATGGGACAGTTCTTCTCTGTCCGATAGGGTTGCTATGAGTCAGAATCGACTCGACGGCAGTGGGATATATGCATGTATAGTTTTATACACACGCATGCACACACACACACAACCACTACTTACTAACGTTGTACAATTTGTTGTATAGCTCTTTACATTTTTTTGTTGTTGTTGTTGCATCTGGCCATGTGTTTTATATGGATACAAAAGATAAATTCTGTAGATTAAGGCAACTCAATGACGATTATTGAACTATCACAAAAATACTAAACTATGGTGTATCTGATGTGTTTTATATGTGTATATAATGTAGAATCTCATTGTGGTAGGCAGAATAATAGCCCCCCAAAGATGTCTATGTCCTCATTCCCAAAATGTATGAATATGGTAGGTTACCGACAAAGAAGAATTAAAGTTGCAGATGGAATTAAGGTTGGTAATCAGCTGACCTTGAAATAAGGAGCTTATCTGAATTGTCCAAGTGGGCCCAGTGTAATCACAAGGGTCCTTAAAAGTAGAAGAGGGAGTCAGAAGAGAGAGTTAGAGGGAAATGGGAAATATGGAAGAATAATCAGAGAGAAGATCCTAAGCTGCTGGCTTTGAAGATGGAGGAAGGGGGCCACGAGCTAAGGAATGCAGGTAACCTCTAGAAGCTGGAACAGGAAAGAGACAGATTCTCCCCTAGAGCCTCCAGAAAGGAATGCAGCCCTGCCAACACCTTGATTTTAGCTTAGTGAGACTCCTGTAGGAGTAACCTACAGAACTGTAAGATAATAAATGTGAATTAAGTCCCTAAGTTTGTGCTAGTGTGTAACAGCAGCAATAGAAAACTAATATGCTCAGGCCAACTAATGTTTGGTAATCTTTATTTGGAAATACTTTGCTAGTCTATTTTGAATTGCAATAAATACAAAATAATTTTGGAAATCTTGCTAATGACATCCTATTTCAGAGCCCCGAACCCCTTCCTAAGAGTGGTCACTTAGCAGTGTGTCTGGCACTAATGTTTCCCCACCTTTCCATATTGCTTCTACTATAAATAAATAAGAGGTTTATTGAATGTTGTGGTGTATGAAAATAACATTCAGATTCTCTGCAATGGAATTAATCAATTTTATGTACTGCGTAAGCCGGGCATCCAAGAGTGCATTATGCCTACTGCTGTTTAGTTTTCTGGTCGAAGAGTAATGAGCTCAGACTGGGAGCTTTGTTTGCATTACCTTGACAGCCACACAAAATAGGACGTCTTAATGCTCAGAATCGTCTATGGTTTTGCATAAGGGTGGTCACTCAATTGACACTGTTGGAAGTTATCCGCCTTGGTATGTTAGTGACCAGGACAGCCTGATCTCTTCCCTTTCTGTTCAGAAGTAGACATGATTTGAGGACAGCCTGCTGTACTGGATTTTGGCTCAGGTTGAGCTGTCCAGGGTACCTACCTGGTCATTCGTATATTACCACCTCACCTTGGATCTCCTCACCCAATGTAATTATTTCCACATCAAGCCAGGACTGAGAGGAAATAACTTTTTCATAGGGATTGGTCCTATCGTAAGTCACAGGGCCTTTCAAGCCATTATGCTTATCCCTAACTGTGTGTGTGGGGATGGGGGGAGGCACGGGGCGGAGAGTAAGAATTCTTTAGAGGGTCAAGACCAACTTGTATGTAAAAAGGTCTTTTCAGTACAACAAAAGTGAAAGTGAAAAGAAAACATTTAAATAGCTGCTAGGTTTGGAAAGTCTGTCAGTTTCTTGTAAGGTGGTCGCTTGTGTGTTGCTGTGATGCTGGAAGCTGTGCTACTGGTTTTTCAAATACCAGCAGGGTCACCCATGGGGGACAGGTTTCAGCAGAGCTTCCAGACTACGACAGACTAGGAAGAAAGGCCTAGAAATATACTTCTGAAAATTAGCCAGTGAAAACCCTATGGATCCCAACGGAATATTGTCCGATATAGTGCTGGAAGATGAGCGCCCTGGTTTGGAAGGCACTCACAACACGGAGTGGCCACAGCAGTGGACTCAAGCATACCAGCGATCATGAAAATGCTGCAAGACCAGGCAGCGTTTTGTGTCGTACACGGGGAAGTCATAGTTGGAGCCAACTCAACAACAACATGTTTTGGAAAAGTTTTAAGACAACGTTTCTAGGGAGGAGGTACTGGTATTTTTTGTCTTTTTATTATTACTGTTCAGTTTTGTAATGAATCTAACAAACTAATAAGCCAGGAGGAACTTCGTGTAACTAAGCACTTTTAAATGCCAACAATAAATTGAAAACACATGTACCATACGATGCCAACATTTAAATGTCTTTTTCTAACCTTATGTGTTTTAAGTGATGAGAGAAATAGCAAAAATGAAAACATATGCCTTTATCCTTTTCTGATTCTAGAATACGTTTTCTGGAATTTTGGCCATGTGTGTACCTACTGTGGGGTTGTATGAATAGTAGTACAGGCTGACTTTTTCCACAGGAGGCAAGTTTACTTTCCCACCATGTACCTGGATTTATTTTTCACACTATATCACACCCTTCTAATTTTCGTTTCTTCTCCAGGCTTAAAAGATCCCCGTGGAAGAAGTCCAGTATAAGGGAGGGTTAGATGACCAAATGGATCAGGCAAATCATGTTTTACTTCATCTCCAAAGCAAAGAAATAACTGTAGGTGGCTTCTGGTTTCATCCTAGCAACACTATAATTCTGAAAGGTCTCTAGGAAACTGTGTTAATTCAGGGCCACCTTGGTGACTTGAGCTGCTTGAATATGGGCCTTCCCAGTCCAGAACCAATCATTTCCACCCACGCAGGAGCCAGGTGAAAGCCCAGACTGCGCTGGTGTAGGGCAGACCGAGCCTCCAGGAGAGCACAGCACGGGTCAGGGTCATCTGCATTCATTTTTCCAAGGACTTGCCTGCAAATGGATTTTGGGTAGAAATGTTTATGTTCTTGTTCTAAGGGAGATGTTTTCATATTTTAGTGCGACCAAAGGAAGATAATTTTAATTTTGTCCAAGCTGGTCTTAAAGAGGGAAAAAAATCTAATTTTTCTGAAAACTCTGAGGATGTTAGGAATTCCACATCAAAAAAGGTAAATGCTTTTTGATTTATAACTAGTCTGATTTGTGTAGATCTTTACAGAATAAGAACCCCCAAACCCACTGCAATCTATTCTGACTCTCAGCAACACTATAGGACAGAGTAGAACTGCCCCATAGGGTTTCCAAGGCTGTAACCTTTATGGAAGCAGACTGCCATGTTTTTCTCCTATGGAGTGGCTGGTGGGTTTGAGTTGATGATCTTTCAGTCAGTAACCGAGCACTTAATCACTGTGCCACCACGGCTCCTTTAGAGTATGAATAGAGATGACTAATTCCAGAATTACAAGTTTTCTCTTAAATAGCCAATTCCTCAAACTATATGATTTGGTTTACAAGAATGTATTTCACACTGCTTAACAAGATTAGTTACTTTGTAAAATCTAAAAATACATATATTAGATTAATTTTTTTGGTTCTAAAATTTTAATTGCCTATTGGATTGTTTGTCATCAGTTGAGTATTATTTAATTATCTTATAAATATGTATTATAAAAAGTTAGCTAAACTTTTCTCTGTAGCCATTCAGTTTCCTTCGAATCTTATTTTTTGTTCACAGCATTTGTTTTAAAGCTGAACATAGAGTTAAGTGGGTCCAACCATAGAATCACTTCTATGGTATTTGTCTAAAGTAATTGAGACTTCCCTTAATTCATGTCTGTTTTAATCCTGTTAAACTCCAGGAAAATGAAAGCTTACCTGAATTGTATTTATGCTTCATATCAACCTGATTTATGAGTGAATGGAAAACTGTTCACTCACGTATTCAGCAATCCCTGGATGCTGCGGGAGCAGCCAGAGCATACACTGCGTCTGTGCCTTTAAGACCTCAGAATGTGTTTGAGGAAACGAGCTCAGGGTGGAAAGAATGCCCATTGTGGCTCAGGAGTCAGTGTGGGTGTATTCCTGCACATGGCATTTAAAGTTATGTTATCAGCCATTGACTCTGCAAAAATAACATTGTTTTAAAAAAGCAAATTTCTGTGTATAATTGATTGACTGGTCCTTGTAGTCATGCCATTAAGTCTTAGATGTTACTTAAGTTACTTTACTGCCACCAGTATCACTTATTTGCAGTTTAATCAAGAGACTTTCCTAAAATTTAAAAAAAAAAATGCTCGTTCTAAGTATTTTCGTTTTATCCTAGATGTGTTGTAAAACCCATTTCTGTATACGTAGTTTATTTAAAACAGGAATGTGGTATAAGAGGCATTCCTGAAATATAGAAAAATATTGTTTTCTGTTGAAATAGTGTATTTGTAGACAAAGACTATTTCTTGAACCTAATTTATAAAAACTCAGACGGAACATCTAAATAGAGGTTGGTCGTTAAAACTAAGTGTCAGCAGAGCGTCTTCAGATTTTGTTTTGCTTCCCCACAAGCTTGATCAGGTGGAATGTGGTACAAATTTGTAATGCTGGAATGCTTTGGAGTCCCTGGTGCAAACAGTTGTCTTAGTTGTCTAGTGGTGCTATAACAGAAATACCACAAGTGAGTGGCTTTAACAAATTCTTTTCTCGCAGTGTAGGAGACTAGAAGTCTGAATTCAGAGCGCTGGCTCTAGGGGAAGGCTTTCTCTCTCTGTCAGCTCTAGGGGAAGGTCCTTGTCTCTTCAGCTTGTTTCCAGATTCCTTGAAGATCTCCATGTGGCTTGGCATCAGTCTTCCCCCATCTCTTTTATATCTCAAAAGAGATTGAATCAAGATATGCTCTACACTAATCCTGCCTCATTAACATAACAAAGAAAATCCATTCTCAAAAAGGATTGTAACCACAGGCATAGAGGTTAGGATTTATAACACATATTTTTTGGGGACATAATTCAGTCTATAACACAGTTAATGTGCTCTGCTGCTATCCAAAAATTAGAGGTGCCTTGGAAGAAAGGCCTGACAATCTATTTCCAAAAAATCAGCCATCGATAACCCTGTGTAGTATAGTTCTAGTCTGTCACACATGGGGTCGACCTGAGTCAGAGTGGATTCTATGGCAACTGGTTTTTTAGAATGCATTATAAACTGTGTAACTTGACTGCACTGAACTTCACGATGTTGTTGTTAGGTGCCATCAAGACAGTTCCAACTCATAGCGACACTGTGTACAGCAGAATGAAACACTCCCTGGTCCTGCGCCATCCTCGCAACCATTGCTGTATTTGAGAACATTGTTGCAGCCACTGGGTCAGTCCATCTCGTTGAGGGTCTTCCTCTTTTTCGTTGACATTCATTTTACCGAGCATAATGTCCTTCTCCAGGGGCTGGTCCCTCCTGATACCATGTACAAAGTATATATGACTAAGTCTCGCCATCCTCCCTTGTAAGGAACGTTCTGGCTGTACTTCTTCCAAGACACATTTGTTCTTTTGGCAGTCCATGGTATAATAAATATTCTTTGCCAATACCACAATTCAAAGGTACCTTGCCTATTCACTGTGCAGCTTTCACATGCATATGAGCAGATTGAAAATACCATGGCTTGGGTTAGGAGCACCTTAGTCCTCAAGGTGACATCTTTGCTTTTTAACACTTTGAAGAGGTCTTCTGCAGCAGATTTGCCCAATACATTACGTCGTTTGATTTCTTGACTGCTGCTTCCATGGGCATTGATTGTGGATCCAAGCAAAATGAAATCCTTGACAGCTGCAGTGTTTTCTCCGTTTATCATGATGTTGCTTATTGGTCCAGTTGTGAGGATTTTTGTTTTCTTTATGTTGAGGTGTAACCCATACTGAAGGCTGTAGTCTTTGATCTTCATCAGTAAGTGCTTCAGGTCCTCTTCACTTTCACCAAGCAGGGCTGTGTCATCTGCATATTACAAGTTGTTGATAAGTCTTCCTCCAATCCTGATTTTTTTTCATATTGTCCAGTTTCTCAGATTATTTGCTCAGTGTGCAGATTGAATGGAGCCCTGGTGGCACAGTGGTTAAGAGCTCAGGCTGCTAACAAAAGACTGGCAATTTGAATTGACCAGCCACTCCTTGGAAACCCTAGGAGGCAGTTCTGTTCTGTCCTACAGGGTTGTTATGAGTCGGCATCAGCTCGACGGCAATGGGTATACAGATTGCCTAAGTGTGGTGAAAGGATACAATGCTGATGCACATCTTTCCTTATTTTAAACTGCTCAGTATCCCCTTGTTCTGTTCGAACGACTGCCTCTCGGTCTATGTACAGGTTCCGCATGAGTACAATTAAGTGTTCTGGAATTCTCATTCTTCACAATGTTATTCATTATTTGTTATGATCCACACAGTCGAATGTTTCTCCATAGTCAATAAACATCTTTCTGATGTTCTTTGCTGTCAGCCAAGATCCATCTGACATCAGCAATGATATCTCTTGTTCCACATTTTCTTCTGAATCTGGCTTGAATTTCTGGCAGTTCCCTGTCAATGTACTCCTGCAACCCTTTTTGAATTATCTTCAGCAAAACTTTACTTGAGTGTGATATTAATGATATTGTTTGATAATTTCCACATTCTGTTGGATCACTTTTCTTTGGAATGCGCACACAAATATGGATCTCTTCCAGTCAGTTGGCCAGGTAGCTGTCTTCCAAATTTCTTGGCATAAATGAGTGAGCACTTCCAGCGCTGCATCCGTTTCTTGAAACATCTCAGTTGGTATCCCATCAATTCCTGGAGGCTTGTTTTTCACCAGTGCCTTCAGTGCAGCTTGGACTTCTTCCTTCAATACCATGGATTCTTTATTATATGCTGCCTCCTGAAATGTTTGAACATTGACCAGTTCTTTTTGGTACAGTGGCTGTGTATTCCTTCCATCTTCTTTTGATGCTTCCTGCATCATTCAGTCTTTTGCCCATGGAATCCTTCAGTATTGCAACTCGAGGCTTGAATTTTTTCTTCAGTTCTTTCAGCTTGATAAATGCCAAGTGTGTTCGTCCCTTTTGGTTTTCTAACTCCAGGTCTTCACACATGTCATTATAATACTTTACTTTGTCTTTGTGTGCTTCCCTTTGAAATCTTCGGTTCGTTCTTTTACGTCATCATTTCTTCCATTTGCTTTAGCTACTCTTCTATTCAAGAGCAAGTTTCAGAGTCTCTTCTGACATCCATTTTGGTCTTTTCTTTCTTTCCTGTCTTTTTAATGTCCTCTTGCTTTCTTTATGTATGATTTCCTTGATGTTATTCCACAACTCATCTGATGTTTGGTCGTTAGTGTTCAATGCATCAAATCTATTCTTGAGATGGTCTCCAAATTCAGGTGGGATATACTCAAGGTCATATTTTGGCTCTCGTAGACTTGTTATGATTTCTTTAGCAATTGATAAGTCTGTTCTGCAGTGGGCCCCTGGCCTTATTCTGAGTAATAATATTGAGCTTCTCCATCATCTCTTTCCACAGATGTAGTTGATTTGATCCTGTGTTTTCCATCTGGTAAGGTTCACATGTACAGTTGCCATTTGTATTGTTGAAAAAAGATAATTCCAATGAATAGGTCATTGGTCTTGCAACAGACTGCAGAAGTTGGTAAAAATCTTCAATTTTTTCATCTTTGGCATTAGTGGTAGGTGAGTAAATTTGATAAATATTTGTTATTAATTGGTCTTCCTTGTAGGCATATGGATATTATCACTGATAAGGTTGTCTTGATATGTTTACCTTATGATACATCAGCAAATTTATTGGGGCAGATACAGAAGCCTGAAGAGGGACCAGTCCCTGGAGAAGGACATCATGCTTGGTAAAGTATACAGTCATTGAAAAAGAGGAAGACTATCTTAGTTATCTAGTGCTGCCATAACAGAAATAGCACAAGTGTATGGTTTTAACAAGAGAAGTTTATTTCCTCACAGTCAAAGTAGGCTAAAAGTCCAGATTCAGGGCATCAGCTCCAGGGGAAGGCTTTTTCTCTCTGTTGGCTTTCTCATCAATGTTCCCCCAGACTAGGAGCTTCTTGGCTCAGGGACCCCAGTCCAAAGGATGCGCTCTGCTCCCGGCACTGCTTTCTTGATGGTATGAGGTCCCCCTGTCTCACTGCTCACTTCTATATCTCACGAGACTGCCTCAGGACACAATCCAGTCTTGTAGATCCAATCCTGCCTTACTAACACAACTGCCACCCATCCTCCCTCATTAACACCATAGAGGCAGGATTTACAACATATAGGAAAATCACACAGTACCAGGAATCATGGCCCAGCCAAACTGATATACACATTTTGAGGGGACATAATTCAAACCATGACAAAGACCCTTAACAAGGTGGATTGACAAGTGTCTTGAATAATGGGCTCAAGCATAACAACGATTGTGAGGATGACACAGGACCAGGGAGTGTTTCGTTCTGTTGTACACAGGGTCACTATGAGTTGGAACCAACTCAACCGCACCTAACAACAACAAAGAAGCCTGAGACTTTCTTGGCTCTATTTCCTGTTATTATTACCGTCTCCAAAGACAAAATCTGGGGAGCAACTTTGGAACTACTTGTAGTACTTTGTCAGGTGTCTGCTTCTGTCCTCGCTTGGCGGGCACACTGACTTCCTGTGGATGCTGACTCTTCTGCTGGACTGTGAGCTTCACAGGAAGGACCTGGGGCAGGGCAAAGAGAAGCATGCAGTGCAAGCCGACTGATGAGCACGAAGAACTCAAGAGCTGCTTGAGTCCTCTGGAAATTTCAGAGAGAGTCTGATTCCAAGTAGATACATTCATGACTGCCTTAAATAAAGAAGGAGCAGATACGAAGGGCTGTGGGGTGAAAACTGTTATAAAACGGTCTCAGTGTCTTTCTCTTATCTGAAGCTACATTTAGTTATAGGTAAATATGCTCAATAGATTAAAAGAAAAACTCAGCACTGATAGATATTTTATCTATGTTTAAGTCTTTAGACTGCAAATTGTAGATGAGTAAAATTAGTATTTCCACTTGATTTACATTTCACCAGGTAATAATGGAATGCTTCAGTCTTCTTGTGAGACCAATTATATTAGTAGTTGCATTTTTGTCTGCTCCTCCTATATGCTTTTACAAGTACAAGCAAATTGAAAATGTACTCTATACTTAGAGGAAAAGGAGACACCTAAGATTCTCTCTTTTCAGAGCAGAAAGTAAAGTGTCTTTTTCCCTTTGAATATTGTGATTGTTGTTAATATCTGTTGAGTCAGCTCTGACTCACATGCTTATGTGCAACAGAATGAAACATTGCCTGGTCCTGTGCCATTCCTGTGCCATCTTCATGATTGTTGGTATGTTTGAGTCCATCGTTGGGTTATTGTGTCAGTCCATCTCATGGAGGATTTCCCTTGTTTTTCAGTGACCCTCTACTTTACCAACCGTGACCTCCTTTTCTAGTGATTGGTCTTTCCTGATGACCTGTCCAAAGTTAAGACAAAGTCTCGCCACCCTCGCTTGTGGTACAGCAGTGTTTTTCAGACGATCCATGGTGAGAGACAAATTTTTAAAATTTCCACTCCTTTGCAGACTGATACTTTTGTGAAATATAATAAATATTGCACTGAGGTGAAATTGCTATGCAAGTTTCTAAATGCTGTCTCTCTATTTCTGTTAACAAACAGTTTGCAACTGGGCACTGGTTTACAGACCTCACCATAGGAGCACTGAAACATGAGTTTCAGGCAGTAATCAACAGGTTCTGATGTTATTTAGCTGGATGTTTGAGATTTTGCCCAAAGAGGGGGGCACTGCTTTATTTGTGATTCTTGGTCCAACAAAGGCCACCGTGTGGGGTTGTGCAGTGTGTGCCCTGCTCAGGGGACCCGACTGAGGAGCTAACGTCTCCTTTCCAAGCCATAGGCCCTTCAAGGAGGGGACATCCATGGCCCAAGTGGAAGGAATGTCTTTTTCTACCAATAAAGGCCTGTGCCAGTGGGGACACCTTTTCCTAATTTGCATGAAGGCCTGTTTGACAGGGCCCTCAGATCATCCACCGAATAGTCCCACTACAAAGGAGCACAATTGGCAGTGAGGCGATAGTTTCTTGAGAAGGCTTTCACGGGCCACTACGCTCAGTCCCTGAGAAGAAACCTGCAAGGAGTAAGGTTTTTGTTGGTTTGTTTGTGTTTTCACCTCAGTTTAATGTCACAGTTCTGTGTACTTAAGAAAACCATCCATCATCATTTTTTTCTTTCCTGAGTTTTCCTTCCTTGAAAGAGGGCACGTGGGTCTTGTGTATCGTTATGACTAGAACAGTGCTCACATCAATACCAGCTGCAAGGTGATAATGAGAGCCAGGCTCAGCCGTTACTTCCAAAACAGGCAAAGAATCTATAGTGGGTGATTATTTCCCTGAAGTTTCTTTTTTCTTTTTTTTCAACCAGGACTTCCGGAGAACAAGTTTTTTTAAATGTAGTCCTGGAGAAAGAAGCTTCCTGAAGTTAATGATACTCTGAAACATTCATCAAGTCAGTGTAGCCTGTAAAATGACATTAGAGGCCAAAGCAAGTTTTGCTAACATTGTATCCTTAGTGTGGTTAATATTAACCAGGGACATTTGAGTTCACCCCGAAACAAGTTCTTAGACAAATACAGCTTGGGAAAGAATATGATTTAGTTGAGTCATGAATGAGCAGGACCTAGAAATACTTCACTGTGTTCTGCTGCCTGTGGCAGAGGCTGCCCTCATCTACCAAGCTGCACTGCCTCAGCTGTGCACAACCTCTGTGCTCCATGTTCCAGATTGGAGACTGCATGTAGGGTCAGGCCAGGGGGGCAAACAGGAAGCTAGGTCAAGCGCTTGGCAGCCTGAGTTTGCACAGCTGCCAGGAACACTTGTGTTCCATCTCAGAGATTTCTCCAAGTTGGGAACACAGAAGCATCTGACCCAGGTGCCCAGCTGAAACTAGGAAAATGAGGGTCTTAGAGGCTCATCATCAGTAACCAAAAACAGTTGCCATCAAGTTGGCTCCAACTCATGTCAATCCCACGTGTATCAGAGTAGGACTAGACTCCATAGGCTTTTCAGTGGCTGCCTTGTAAGAGGTAGATTGATAGGCTTTCTTCTGAGGTGCCACTGGGTGGACTTGAACCACCAACCTTCGTTTAGCAGCTGATCACACTGACCATTTGCACCATCCAGGGACACCCTCATCACCAATACAGAGGGAGATGTCTGATGGTGGGGAGTGAGGAAGAGGGCGTTGTTAACAGCTGACTGCACTTACAGATCTCCTCTTACCAGACACTGCCTCAGCGCTTCCCCCAACACATCCACCAGGCCTTGGTTTCCTGGCTGACCTGGAGGATTTGAAAGACAAACACCAACTAATTGACCTTTGCAGGCCTCCTAGATAGTGAGGCGGAAGAGGCAGCACAGGTCAGATGTCTGCCGTGAAGAAGAGCTTTGGCACATTCAGGAATTCCAGTTGTGGGTAGATTTTTATTATGAATGGCAAATGTTTGGGGGCTTAAGTTTCTGTTTCATGATTAGCATGAAATATTGCCTGACCCTAAGTCAAGTCTTGCTACAAATGCAAGAAATAGGAGTTTCTAACAAATACTGGGTCCAGTTTCTAACGTACAAGCCCTTTTGGTTTTGGTGGCAGAAAACCACTGAAGTTAGTTTAATAGGGAGAATCCCACAGACCTGCAGGACAGGAAATACAGCCAGTCCTTGCAGGAAGTGGCCTGGAACCTAGAAAGTCAAGAATTAAGGTTATCAGCTTCATCTCTCACTGTCCACATGGTCTCAACTCAAGACTTCTCTGCCTCACTCTGTACATGTCCTCCCTCTCTCGCTCTCACGCTTTCTCTTTGTCTCTGTGTACCTCCACCCCCGCCTCTCACCCCTCAGCCAACCCTTTGCCTATTCATCTGACATGGAAGGCCGCTCCTACCATGGAAAGGAACTGCACCTCAGTTCACGTTCCTGAGAAGCAGTCTGATTGGCTCAGTCACCCACGTGAACCTCATGGCCATCTCCCTCCAATCATCTGTGGCAGGGCGTAGGGCGTGGGGGCAGGCGGAGGGCCAGCAGCACAGAATCAAAGGTTCTGGGAAGTCTGTGTGAGGGGGACATGCCCCCAACCATGGCTAAGACACTTGAGGTTTTCACAGCTCAGGTACGCCCACAAGCGGCCTTTAATGACGGCAGAGAATCTGGTTGAGGTCAGCACATAATTAAAGCTGACAACCATCCACTTAGCACCCTCACTAATAGAAATCTTAGTTGGTCTATATGCATGCTGGCTGGTGTAGAAATGTGAGGGTAGTGGTCACACAATCACACAAGATTGCCGCCGTGAAGCAGTATTCTCAATGGTCAGGGTAGAAGGGAAAAAAAATTGCACTTGCCCAGAGTAATTCCCCTCACACACAAGTGGTTGTTTTGTTTAAATGGCTAACAAGACAGACGTGCTGTTTTCTAAATGCTGACAAAAGCCCAATGAGCTTTACACTACCATTTTGATGGGAAACTGATCACAGTTCTCTGGTTGTCTAAACCTGACCTAGGGGCATTTTCAGCCACACTTACAGCCTGCAGCTGGTCAACTCCGTTTGCAAAGCATTCTGGCTCCAGTGCTTGAACCTCATATTGCACACGTTGGATTTGTCATTGTTGGCTTCATCCAAGTTCCATGACCATTTCCTTAATTTGTTGTTCTCTTTGTGCTACAGGTAGTGAGTTTACCCGGCAGGGGGAAATGGGCCCCTCCACTCTTGAGCATGGCACAAACGTGAAAGCTGATTGTCTGGAGCCTCGCACACTGAATTCCCAACAGCTCTGTCACAGCTAGCTTTATGTTTACTGGAATTAGATATTGTATTCCCCAAGCCTATTATGATTCTACAGGATACTATATTTATTAAGATACAGCGTGAGGCCAGGGAACAGAGCGAGTTCCCGGACTCTTTGAAGGGTAAACCTGGTAACTGTTCTCGCTGGTCAGCTCCCAAGCGCTGAGCCATTGGGACACAGCCAGCACCGAGTTACCTCTGCTTTCGCTATAAACTGGTAGGTAGAGCTAGAGACTTGATCAGATTCAGGTTCAATTAAAAAAAAACAAAACTACTTCTAAGTGTGTATTCTACTCTCCATCAGGAGGGACAAATGCCATTTTTATGAGATGGTGCACTGATGCTGCACATGCCCAACCCAGTGAATCAAATAGTACCAAGTTCACAAGGGACTCAGATTTCACAGTCATCTGGTGTCCCATGGTCAGATGTTCAGTCTCTACCATAGTCCGAGACAAGAATGATTATCAGAAGAGGAAGGCATGGCTTTGTTCCAAACCCTCAGTGTCTGCATTATGATTTTCCCGTCAGTGCTTGTCCAAGGCTTCATAGAGCATCTCTATCTGCCACGGATGATTTGAGCATCTTTCTGTCTACTGAGTCTTGAGGCCCAGGTGGAAGGGTGGCTTGTGGCTCAGCCTGGCTCTGCTGCAAAGCTTTCTTTTGCTCCAAGACTCACTTAAATCTAGTAGTCTTATTGATTACTCAGTAAATAGGCCAGAGCAGCAAACCAAATGTGAAATACACCTAACAACAGCTGTGTTCTCACCAAATGGCTCTCACCTTAAAGAGGGTGTCTGTCTATTCCCAAGACCCTAGACCTTAGGAATTTCACTGGGGTGGAATTTTTGTGAATTTATTTCCCACCTCTTTGTATGCATGGTGTGGTGGATTAAAAATGTTCATGAATTATTTATAGTTTCTCCCATCAAGAGATGGAATCTCTTGTTCCTGTCCCTTGAATCTGACTGACCTAGTGACTTGCTTTGACCAACAGAATGCAACAGAAGTGATGCTGTGTGATTTCCCAGGCAAGGACCTCAAGAGTGAGGCCATCCTAAACCAGTCAGTCATTTCAGCTTCCATCTGACCACAGGTGCGTGAGTGATCCCAGGTGAGACCAGCAAAAGTGCTCCCCAGTCTACTCACCAACTTGTGAGAGATAATAAATTGTTGTTTAAGCTGCTAAGTTTTGGGATATTTGTTAAGCATCAATTAACTGAAGCAGAAATTGATATTTAGAAGTTGTGCACTGCCTTAACAAAAACCTAAAACATGTGGCATTGGTTCTCTGACCCAAGGAATGAGGGCTATTATTGTAGCAATGACCAAGTGGGAATGCCTGGAACAGCCTTCCCCTGCCAAAATATTACATCCAAAGCAGTGTATTGTTCCAGGGAGAATGGCAGAGATTAGTGCCATCTTCAAAGACTTGAAATGCCATCTTCAAAGACCTAAAACTTACAGGGGTGTGATTTTTATCACATCTTCATTTAATTCTCTGTTTGACCAATGCCCAAGAGGGAAAAACCTTGGAGAGTGATGGTGAATTGTTGTAAGCCTAATCAGGTGATGAGTCCAATTGTAGTTGCTGTTCCAGATGTGTTTTCTTTGCTACATCAAATCAACATAGTCCCTGGCACCTAGTAGGCAGCTATTGAGCTGGCAAGTGCATTTTTCTCATACTGAATTAGTGAAGACCACCAAAAGCAGTTTCTTTCATCTAGCAGGGGAAATAATACCCCTTCACAATGTCAGTTCTATGGCTGTTTGTCGTAATAGAGTCCTCAGAGACTTTGATCAAGTCTCCTTGAGAATATCATGCTAGTTCACTGCGTTGATGGCATCATACCAACTGGGCCTAAAACCAAAAAAGCCAAACCCGTTGCATCAGTTCCAACTCATAGCGACCCCATAGGGCAGAGTAAAACTGCCCCCTAGAGTTTCCAAGGAGCGCCTGGTGGATTCAAACTGCCAGCCTTTTAGTTAAGCAGCTGTAGCACTTAACCACTACACCACTAAGTTTTCCCAGCTGGGCCTGGTGAGCAGGAAATAAACCTTGGTAAGACACCTGCATTCCACAGGCTGGGAGAGAAAATCTGAAAATTCAGTAGTCTGTCTCCCACATCAGTAAAATTTCTAAGATTCCATTCATTTATATGCCAGAATATCCCTTCTGAAGTGAGAGACAAATTGCTGTTATCTTCACCACTATGATTAATAAAATGACACACAATAAATGTGAGAATATTTGAGTTTTAGAGGCAACACATATGCTATTTTAGTGTACTTCTTCGATACATTTACCAAGAAGTGCATACAGCTGCTGATTTTCCTTGGGACCTGGAGCAAGAAAAAGCTTTGCAACAGCTTCAGGCCGTTGTGCATTTGAGATTCATTCATGTTGTTGTGTGTTGTATGTATCTGAGGTTCATTCCTTTTTAATGCTGAGTAGGTACCCATTTTATGGATATACTTCAATTTGTCCATTCACTAAGTGACTAAGGGTCACACTTTAGTAACAGAACTAAACTAGTCCAGAATAGAGGCTGCTCCAGACCCACCCTTAAAAAGCTTTAAAGAAAAGTCTTGAAAAGATCAAACTGATCTGATCTGCCAGTTCTATAGCTGCCTCCCAGAACAAAGTCAAACGCTCTTTAAAGCAAGATAGCCAAGTTCAGACTCTCAATGACCTAACAACTTAATGTTCAGCATTCAATAAAAAATTACTAGATACACCAAAAATGTGACACATAACCAGGGGAGAAAAAAAAAAAATAGAAAAAGACCCACTTTTGATAGAGATTATGCAATTAATATGCAAATATTTTAAAGAAGCTATACAAATACCCTCAGTATGCTCAAGGATCTTTAACATAAACATAATCAGGAGAGATAATAAAGATATTAAAAAAAGCCAAATGGAACTTCTAGAGATGAAAAATATATTATCTGAAATGAAAAATACTCTGGAGAGGATTAACTGCAGTTTAGACATGGAAAAAGAAAATATTAGTGACTTGAAGCTGTAGCAATAGAAGCTATTTAAACTGAGACACAGAAAGAAAAAGATGGGCCAGGGTGGTGGGGGAAGGACCTCAGTGACCTGGGAGTAATATCAGGCAATTTATTATATGTATAATTAGAGTCCCGGAAAAGTGTAAAAGTTGGTGTGGAAAGGGAGCAGACAGAAAAATATTTGAAAAAATAATGATGGGGAAAAGCTTTTTATTTGTTGAAAACTATGACCCCACAGATCCAAGAAGCTTAATGAACCCCAAGGAGGATAAACACACACACACACACACACAAACTATACCAAGGCATACTATAATCAAATTTCTGGAAAACAGTGATCATAAGAAAATCTTAAAATCAGCCAGAGAAAAAAGGCATATGGCGTAGAGGAACAAAAATAAAAGTGAGAGCTGATTTCTTGTCAGAAATTATGCAACCTGGAAGACAATGGAATGCTATCTTTAAATTGCAGAATGAAAATAAATATTCTGCCAACCTAGAATACAATATCCAGCAAAAAAAAAAAAATTCTCTAAAAATGGGGGTGAAGTAAGGGCTCCTTTAGACAAACAAAAGCTGACTTTGTCCCCAACAGACCCGGACTGTAAGTCATGTTAAAAAGGAAGTTATTTAAACAGAAGAATGATGAAGTCAGATGGAAACTTGAATCTACACAGGAATGAAGAGTACAAGAAATGGCAACTGTGTGGGTTAATATAAAATACTTCTATTCTTATATTTTAACTTTTTAAAAGGTAATTGACTATATAAAACAAAAATAAATGCATTGTGGGGCTTGAAGCATATGCCTAAGTTAACTATATGACAGCAATAGAACAAAGGATGAAAGAGGGAAATGGAAGTATACTGTTATATGGTTCTTACTTGTATAACATTCAAATATTATCATTTAAAGTAGATTTGATTAGTTAAGGATGTATATTATAAACATTAGTTCAACTACGAAAAGCTAAAATGTGGAGGTATAGCTAACAAACCAATAGTGGAGATAAAATGACATAATATGGTTTGCGTTTAGCCTGAGGGAAGTTGATTTGTGTTGATGATTTATTTGTAGGTATAAGTATTATACAAATTTTTAATAAATGCAAATTTCATTTTTAGTTTCTCATCTGGAGTGTTTCTATAATGTTTAGAAGCATAGTAAGTACATATTAATCCTTGTGTATTTCTTCTGATGGGACCCTAAAACTGACCAGAAAGAAAATACATTCATAAAATTAAGAAAGAACATGTTCTAAAATATAAATGTTGATGAGTGATGTGAAATGATATGGCGTATTTAAGCCTTGGAAAAAGATATAGCCAGATGGGTGAGTTGGGGAAATCATTAAAAAGCAGAGACTTTTGAGATTCTGAGCACCACAAAAAGAGAATAGCTATCTTTCAAATGGTCTTAGAGTTGAAGAAAGCAATAAATTAATCAGCGAAGGACATGGTAGGGATTAAATTAAGAATCATCATGGAATGAGGCCCATCTTCCAACTTCTCAAAATTTTAGGTGCTACTGTTTGTGCCTGATTAAAATGATGTAATTTCTTTCCTCAGGAACGGAAGTGACTATTACTTTTGGGTTAATGATCCCCAGGAGTCCCATAGAAATGTACTCTGATCTCTTACACAACATTCTTATTTAACTCAGAGTAAAGGAAATAGTAGTTACCGAGAGGTCAAACATGTGCTTTCCACCCTATCCTCTTTATTTTTTTTTTGCCATCATATTTATTTATTTATTTATTTATTTATTTATTTATTTATATTTTATTGTACTTCAGGTG